TAGCCCAATCAAGTATGGGAGGGATTTGTCCCCTTCTCGGTGCCTGGTCTAGATGTGAGCTAAGAATTGTGATGCTGTCTAATGAAGGTGCTCTGTGGCAGCACTCACAAAGTGAAAAAAAAGTAGTTTCCTCCAGGGTGAAGGGTTCTCTTGACTGTGTTGAATCTTTTATTAATCATGTCTTATGGTTCTTTGTGAAAGTCCACTAGTTGGAATTGTGTATCTTATAAAATTCTTCTAAATATATACCAATAGACACCAAACTGTCATACTCTGAAAAACTCCTAAGGACGGTACTCTTTTTACTATGCTAATGCTCGTTTTTTTCTGGGCCTCAGATTCTGAAGATGACCTATCCTGGCTGTCAAAATGCCTGCTTTTTACTGAAAAATAAGTGGTTCGACAATTGAGATTAGACTTAAGTTGTATTTTATAAACTGAAAATGCAAAAGTAGCTCTAGCTCACCACTTTTATTTCAGTGGACAACATTATAATACTTTTGAGAAGTGGAGTTGATGACATAATAGGGAGAATTTGTATTTATTAAAAGAATAACCTGGAAGGGCCTCTTCAGGCCATTTAATGTGATCAGCCTGAAATAGGAGCTCCTTAATGAAGCATATTATATGAGGAGATAATTGTTATGTAGGCATAACTTACAGCCTGAAGCCTGGAAGTTCTCAAAGTATTGTTGAATAAGGCACACACTGATGGTTATTAGGTGCGTGTATTTAAAAAAAAAATTGTAGGGGCGCCTGGGTGGCTCAGTCATTAAGCGTCTGCTTTCGGCTCAGGTCATGATCCCAGGGTCCTGGGATCGAGCCCCACATTGGGCTCCCTGCTCCGCGGGAAGCCTTCTTCTCCCTCTCCCTCTCCCCCTGCTTATGTTCCCTCTCTCGCTGTATCTCTCTCTGCCAAATAAATAAAATCTTTAAAAAAAATAAAAAAATAAGTTGTAGTCAGTGAAATTACAGTGACTGAGTTTTTCTGATTTATGAGGTGGAAAATTCTTTGGAAACAAAAAAATTCTGCTACAAATGGTATCAATGGCCAGTTAACTTTACACAGCTTTTTCTTATTAGCGGTAACATTGTCGTGGTTCATGGCCAAAACAGTCTGTGAACAGAGAGCTGCATAGTACCTTGTGTTTCATGCCCAGTTGACCTTCTCTTAAATTTTGACATCATTGCCACTGTTTGCCCTGAAATCTCCTGGGATGCTGACCTCCAAAGGTGCTCCTGCTCTGGATCTGCTCAATTTCTTCGAGAATCTTTCTTAGTCTTCCCGTTGGCACGAGCACTTGCTATGATGATGATCATTTAGTTGTATGGGTTTAAATAGGGTCCCTAATGCCATTTGGTAAATTTGTGGGTCTTGAAAACAGTGGTTTTCCTGGATTCTGATTGGATACTTGAGACACCTTGGAAGGAAAAGGGATGATCCCTTCAGAGAACAGGTGTATCTGTCCAGGTGGACCGATTTCTAAATAAGTTTAAATGTCCTTAGTGTCATTTATGATGGACTGATGCTTACTGTATTTAGGATCTTGATATTGGGAGGCCAATTTTCAGTCTGAAATCGCCTATGAATACTTGATTAGACAACCAATAACATGCCATGTATTTATAGGGGGAGACTATAATAGGAAAGATTTCCCCAGTTGGCAACAAAGAATTGTTAAGTCATCAGATTTCCTGCACTGCCAGTGAAACACTTAAGAAAATAAAAAGAAATAATTAAAGGCAGGAAGTCCCTTCAGGAGGCAAATATTCAGGAAGCCAACCAGATAAAGCTAAAAATATTTCAGGTAGGAAGGAGGATCCAGCTTTCCTTTTGACATTATATTGGTGTCTTAAATATTAGTTTCCCTCTAAGTTAAAATATCATTTAGATTTCGATGTATATAAAAAATGAAAGATCATTGTTAAATTCAACTAATAAAGAGTAATAAAAAGTATATATATAATATATATAAGGTATACGAATATTACATAAACATTATTCATGCTATTTGTATCTTAGAGTCCATTTAATTCAAGCTTAGCTCCTACATAACTTTTATATATTGTACACAAAATGTATATCATTTACAGTCTTGCACTTACCTTAATACTTAATACGTCATAGAATCCCTTTTTATTTTCTGTTGGTTTATTTTGGTCTCATTTAATCTCTTCAGACAACTCTTGAGTTTTGTTTTCATTACTTCTTTAATAATTAAGGGATTTCTAGCCTAAATTTTTCAAAGTTTACCAGTGAATCCTAGATTTGTTATGAAGTGTTCTTGTCCTCATTACATTCTAGATAGGGTGTGATTTATATTTCCTCTTTGACCCATGAATTATTTACAAGACTTTCTGTGTTTTCCAAGTTGTTAAGTTATAAAAATCTTTTTAGTATTTATTTCCAAGTGCTATTGGTTATAATTAGAAAATAAGAGTAAATAGCTTTAGTTTCAAAAAATCTGATAAAATTTTCTTTATGGCCATATACAAGATCTTTATGAAAGGTCTGATTGATTTAAAAATCTCTCTATGTATCTATCTATATATGTATACACACATATACATCTATATTTTGTCATTTATTTTTAAGTATATACCCAGAGATTCTAATTTAATATGTCTGAGAATTGTCTGTGCATTGGAGTTTTTAAAGCTTTCCAGGTGATTCTAATATACAACCAAGGCTAAGAATCACTGCCCTAATAATGATTCTAGCCCAGTGGTTCTCAGAATATGGACCAGTTGCACCAAGGTCACCTGGGAACTTCTTAGGAATACAAATTCTTGTGCCTTACTCTAGATCTACTGAATTGGGAACTTGGGGACCCAGCAATATGTATTTTTAAAAGCCTGCAAGATAATTCTCATACTCACTAAAGGTTGAGAGCCACTGATCTATACCAGTGGCTCAACAGTGGGGTTGGTTTTGTCCCCAAGAAGACATTTGGTAACATCTAGGAACAGTTTTGGTTATCAAAACCGGGAGGTGGTGGAGGAGACAGCTACTGCTGACATTTGGTTGGTCGGGGCCAGGGATTGGGGCACTGGACAGTCCGCCTCAGAAGAATTATCTGCCCCCCAAATATCAGTAGTGCTGCTGTTTAGAAATTGATCTGCACCATGATTTCCAAACATGACTTTATGACCACCATTTGGAGAGCTTTTAAAAATCCTGACTCCAGATGCAGTTTAATTGGTCGTTGGTTAGAGCATAGCATCACATTTTAAAAAGCTATCTACATAATTACATCTGCAGCCATGATTGAAAACCACCACTATGGCACTGCTCATCAGTACGTGTAAAACTCTTATAATGGATGGATCAAAGTGATTCTGAACCTACCATTCAATTTTAATATAAAAAGAGAGAAGTAGTCATTATTACCTTCAGATGTGATGTAGCAGGGAGTATAAAACACTAGATCTAGAAATCTAACTACCGTGTTAGAGGTACATGTTAAAAACCACTGTGAGGATGTCATCAGCAAAATCCAGAACGTAGAAACTCTTAAGACAAATGATGGAGATTTTTATCAAGAAAAAATGCCAACAAGGAAAAAAGGGAGAACTGTTCTTAAGAGAAATTTAAGATACTTAGCCAATTTGTGCATCTTGTTTGGATCTTGGTTTGAAAGAGCAACAGAAAAACAAAACATTTCTGAGAAGATGGAAAATTTGAACATAAAAATATGATATTTCGTAAAAGTGAATTTTATGCGTGTGTGTATATATATATATATATATTTTTTTTTGGAGTTGTATGTGGAGGGGTAACTAGAGGTTATAGGTAAAACAAGATTGGCCCTGTATTGATCATTGTTGACACTGTGTGCTGGGTATATGGAGATTTATGATAATAATCTCTATACTTTTGTGTATATTTGAAAAATTCCACAATAAGAACAATGAGAAGGAGTATCTAAGTATGTGAGAGGAAAAGCAGGTGAGAGGGAATGGTGTTAGAAAAACTGTCAAGACAGTAGGTGTTTCCACAGTGTAAAAAAACAAAACAAAACCAACAACAGTCCATTGGATTTGGGACATGAATGTCATTTGATGGCCTTAGCAAATCTGTTTCGTTGGAGAAGTGGGTCTGAAAGGATCGGAATGTACAGAGAAGTGAGAGGGTGATCATGAGGCAGATGAAGGGGATGAGCAGGAGAGGAGAATATGGTCAAGTGTGTTACGTTTGAGATAGAATAGGGTTATGTGTGTTTGAATGATGAAAGAGATCCAGTAGAGACAGAGACAGTGAGTCTCAGGGAGGAAACAGGTAGTATGTGTAAGCATTGGTTTCCTTAAAACCATCTCAACAGGTTGGCACAGAGTTCAATTTGGATAATGCATATAAATTACTTAGCATTACTTCTACCGTACTAACAAATTATCATAATGAGAGCTTCGGAATTTGCGCATGTGTGAGGCTCATTTAAAGTTATTTCTCTTCTTGTGTGTGTGACTTTTTTGTTGATGTTTATATTTTTGGTGATCCTTATACTTTTATCCTTTGGCAGAGTGTTATAATAAAGCACTAAACTTAGTTATGTTCTTATGTTTCTTTACAATGTTTTATATATCTAGCACAAAATTTAGAACCACAAATAATTATATGTGTGTATTGAAATAACAAGATATTAAACCATATGTGAACTCATAGCTGAGTACTTTTATGGACATAAGTTAAATAAGTAAAGTGAATTTACTGGGAGAGAGGGAGGGAGGGAGAGTTGGACAGGGGAGAGGCAAAGGGAATGAATGGGAGTGGAGGGAGAAAATGATGAGAGAATACGTTTAAATTGTTCAGGGCAAATTTACATTGATCACTGTTACTGTTATTTCTCTTATTTTTATTTCCAGCTATACTGTCTCATGCCACAAAGTATAACTTTATCTAAAGGCTTTCCATTTGCTTTTAGCTTGCAATTGACTTGAGAAAACAGAGTCCAAGAATGACACATGTTAAAATTGGGCTTTTTTTCTCTTTTTTTAACCAGAACTGTTCACTATGAAGGTGGTGCTGTATCTGTTCATGCACGTTCCCTGTGGAGACTAGAGACACTAAGAGTTGCGTAAGTAGAATTTGTAAATACAGCTGAGTGCTTCAAGTGTACTAAATACTTCCAGTGCTGTGGACTTGAGCTTTTATGTGAAAGCTCACAGTAATAACCACAGCAAACAAGCAAATGAAACACTGAGAAAGTGGTGGAGTGTTTCTTCTTGCCCTTCTGCCTACCTTTATTTCGCTTTCTTTAGCTTAAATTTACTACGCGGTATGCAGTAATTCTATATGGATCTGCTCCTGTCTTTAGCCTGATTTGTTTTGGTAACATGCTCTCATCGCCGTCTGCGCATCTCCTATCAGAAGGTGCTCCTAGGACAGAGAGACGTAAGGTTTGGAAAGAGGACAAATGGTTTGCAAGCCTTTTAACGCATTTCAGGCCTGACATTGTCTGGGTTTAACAGTCTAAAGGCCCATGTAAAACAGGAAACTTGAACATGAACGAGAGTGCAAGGGTCGTTACTGACAGCCATTCTCCTTATTTACAAACACCTTGATAGCTGAGTAAGAAATGTGGATTGCAATACAAAGTCACTGTGTATATACAAACAAATATATATATACATATTCTTTTTTTTTTTTTCCTTTTTGGTGGCTTCAAAAAGTTCAGAGGTTGACTTTTAGTTCCTATAGATAATGCAATGATGATAAAGGTGTCATTTTGAATTATTTTAAGTAGAATTAAAATATTAGTCAGATTTTTTTTGTTGGTTGGAACGCCCGTTCCTTTGCCTACAAAGCAATAAGTTTTCAGTGTATTTGTTCCCAATTACATTACACTTTTAGGAAATTATCGATTTAAAGTTATACTTTCCATGAATGGCTGTAGGGAACTATCTTGTATAGAATAGCTAGCTTTGTAAGGCCTACTGTTTTGAGATTATTGCTTATCTAAGGATGATTAAAATAGTTTAGTGGTCTTCAGTTGTTTTGGCTTAGATATCCCACACGTTAGTTTTGAAAAAATTGAAAGATGCATCCTTGAACATTGTAAGGTTTGAAATACACATTTTTCATTACTGTTTTTTTTTTATTATCAGTTTAAATAGATGCATAGAATATAACTTATGGTGTATTAGAGGTAGTGATATTTTAAAATGAAATGAGCATACCACTCTTTTAAAAGTATCTCATTGACTCTAAATACTGCTATGATTTAATACCCATCTTTGTTTATTTAAAAATACTTGAACATAGTCTTCCTTAACGGTAAATTATTTTTTAATTTTATTTTGTTAGTTTATATACTCTCTTTCTCATTGTCATGATATTTGTTACTCTGCCATGACAGAGTTCTTTATCCCAAATGGTATTTTTTTGTGATTGAAAGACTTTTTTTGCTCACTCTAGCATATACCTATGCAACAAAAATATGTTTGTAAAATATTTTTATATTTCTAATGATAGTCTGTAACTTTAAAAAAGTTCTATATTAACCCCATTAATTATTAATTAGCTGATAATTCTTCCATATAAATACATAGTTGATGAAATCACCTAAATATTAAAACTTTTGGTAAGCATTGAAATTTAAAAGTAAAATTTTACTGGAAATGCATCACTGAAGATGGAAAAAGAAGTGGCGGCCTCATAAAGCAAAGGAAGGAGATCTCAAAGCTTTCATGTGCTTCATAAATGATTCAGAGAATTGAGGGAAAGAAAGGGATTTCAAAGACCTACATGTATTTCCTTTACCTTGTGTTTTATAAAAATGACAGCTTAATTAGAGAAATGAAATAGTCAATAAAAGTGAAGTTTAGACAGATGTTGCTGCCATTAGAAAACAGACTCCAGATGTGTTTTCAGATTTGTAGATATCCCTCCCCTTCGTGATTGTGTGCTTAGAGAAATGGGTTGGTTTGTTTGTTTTGAGCAAAGGAGGCCCTACATCTGTCTCATTTTGTAGATTAAAAAACCGGAAGGATGCGAACTCCTGAAAACCAGGCAGGGCTTCCTTTTAATTGCCTGTTGTCAACGTTGTTTTTGATGAACTGTAATAACATAAATCCAGATCGTCCTGCGCATTCTTGCATTATGTGGTCTTGATTCTTCTTCTCTACTGTTGCCTAATGTTTGAAGTTTGACATGGGAAGTGTGGGGTCTGTTTTAACTTGAATGGGGGTGACAGAGAATATAGAAAGAGCCTGATCTCCAGGTCAGCCAAAGGTGAAAGTGGGCATGTCTGCTGATTGCCTCAGAATCCAAATGACAGCAAGAAAAAAGGAATTGACAACAATAGCAGAGCAGGTAGTTTTTCAAAACCATTTAAAAAATGAAAGATGTTTCTGTTGGACTCTGACCTTGATTTACACCATTTCATCTTCCTGTCTATGGCAGAAAAGCAGGAGGTTCACTTGTAATGAATGTAATTATGTTAAGTGTTTTTTCAGGTTCACTAGTTCTATTGAATTTTTGAACTACTTTGACTTCATTGTAAAGGTACACATTAGATTGCATTGAGTTTACATGCCTTCTTATGTGCATTGGCCGCATAAATACTCATTTTTTCTTTGTACTTAGAAAATGATAGTCAAAGATTCTGCTTATGTTTACAACAGAATTTTATACCCAAAGGGCAATACTTATACTATAATATTTGGGATATTCTTTTTTATTTCCTCCAACCAGGTCTCAAACTATATATTTGATATAATTTATGCAGCCTAGTAATTATATATTTTATATTGCATACTCCTGCAAATAAAATTAATGTTGTCAAAAATTTTTCAGTATCATGAACATTTTAATAAGGTAAGTTTTAACCTTGGGAGTTAAACATAATAGAAAACACATTCCTGTATTATACCCCAATGTAAAGCTGTAAGACCATATTAAGTACAATATATGTTGGTTTCAGTAGTAGGAATGCTCATTGCAATTAAAAATATGCATTAAGTATACTTCAAATTCCACTTTGTTATATGTTACAAAGAACCCACAAAATCAAAGGTGGATGTATCATGAAGAATGACCAAAAACTTCCTGTTTCTTTGAGGTCATTTCAAGTGAATATAGGTAATACATAGGGAACAGTTTTCTGTTATGTCCCCATGGAAATTGCGTTGTATTACTATGTTACTACTACTGTTTTTGGTTTTTACTAAATATTTGCTGCCCTCTGATTCTCCTGGGCTTGTCCTCTTTTCTTCTGGGCCATGGCATTAGAGGCCAGCTAATTTGAATGGCTGTATGCTAAAGAAAATGTGCTTAGACTTTACAGTGTTTTGCTGATAATTGGCCAAATTCATTTCCATTTCTAACATAATCCTGTTGGTGACCTGAAAGGAGTACTTATAAATATGCGCCCTATTAAGTAGATTTGTACACAGTATCCAGAATACCCTCTAAAAAATCTAGTGCAAAGTATTACATGGTCCAAATTTGGAACTATTTTGAAAACGAAGTTGTTTTTTATGATGATTAGGATGAGTCATTACTTAGGAAAAAACATTTAGATGGTTATTCAAATAACGAAAGTGAATATTAAAAATAATTGTGTTTCTCATAGCATCTGCAAAGAATACACTTATTTAATTTTTTATTGTTATGTTAATCACCATACATTACATCATTAGTTTTTGATATAGTGTTCCATGATTCATTGTTTGTGCATAACACCCAGTGCTCCACACAGAACATGAAGAATACACTTATTTAATAAGAGGGGAATAAACAAGGCTTGTTTATTTACTAGACTAGAAATGATTTAATATTCTTGGTAAAGTTTAATTTCATTTTTAACAATACTGTACTATTAGGGTTTATTGGTACACGGTTATTACTTTACTGGGGAGACTTGTCCAAATTAATTGCCTTTATAAACAAATCCATGTTATAATGATCTTATCACAGTATTATTCTGTTAGTTTTCCCTGCTAATATTCAAAGTGAAAAATCCAAGTTAGGAAATCAGCATAAAATGACTTACAGTTTACTAAGATTGGTAAATTTGAAAAAAGTATTCTCAATTTGTAGAATACAAAAGACCCTATATTTTTTGATGACCGTTTTGATCGCCTTATATTAAAACAAGCTTATTAGGGGTGCCTGGGTGGCTCAGTCTTTAAGCATCTGCCTTCGGCTCAGGTCATGATCCCAGGGTCCTGGGATCGAACTCTGCATCGGGCTCCCTGCTCAGTGGGGAGTCTGCTTCTCCCTCTCCCACTCCCCCTGCTTGTGTTCCCTCTCTTGCTGTGTCTCTCTCTGTCAAATAAATAAATAAAATCTTAAAAACAAAACAAAACAAGATTATTAATTAAATCATGGTAAAATTTTCCATATTTTCATTTTTTGTCTGAGTCATTAATGATAAAACCTTCCACTGTAACTGTTTTTATAAGTAATTATCTTTTTCTTTTGCCTCATTTTCTCTTTTCCATTGCCCTGTGAAGCTTCATGACATATGTTCTTTTTAGAGTATGTTTTTTTCTCTTTATAAAATACCTGACTATATCCCCTTTATGCTTTTTGCCTTAAATTCTAATTTGTTTAATATCAACTTTACCATCACTATTTCCTTATGAATTTATATGCGTGGTAAATCTTTTTCATTCATTTATTTTTATTTCTTGAAAAAATTATTTGATTTTCAGCATATTTTTATCAGTGATAAGAGACCATCCTTGTTTTGCACATAACCGTTTTAAAGGTGTGCATATCACGTTGTTTTCCTTCTGTACCGTAGTGAGCACAAGGTTCAGATACATGCGACCTTCATTTAACACAGCACTGCGCAAAACAAGGATGGTCTGTATCTTGATTTTTCTTCTCTACCCTATCTGAAAGTCATTTTAAAAAGCAGATTTTAATGATCATAACTTTGCTTTTTATCTTTTTTCTGCAACCTTAGTTTGTATGCTGTTTATTGCATTTTATTTTTTTCCTTTTTTTCCCTCTTGACCTTTTTAGAGTTCTCATATTCTTGGTTTGTCTTTTTTGTTGATCAGTTTTTATTTTTATTTATTTATTTATTTTTAAAGATTTTATTTATTTGAGAGTGAGAGAATGAGAGATAGCACGAGAGGGAAGAGGGTCAGAGGGAGAAGCAGACTCCCTGCTGAGCAGGGAGCCGGATGTGGGACTCGATCCCAGGACTCCAGGATCATGACCTGAGCCGAAGGCAGTCGCTTAACCAACTGAGCCACCCAGGGGCCCTGTTGATCAGTTTTTAATGATATAGTTCCACGTTATTAAAATTCAATGCATAGGAATAGGTTTCAAGTTAACATATACTTTAATTTATATATATGAGTTCCAGTTAATCATAATTAGGCATTGACTGAATTACCACTATTTTCCAAGTCTGCAAATCCAACAAAAGTTTTTAACTAGTATATTCAAAAGTATTCTTTAAACTTACAATTTCCATATCTGTGACTAGATTAGATGTTAACTTGGACCACGGTCCTTAGTCATTTTTGCAAGAGGTAGTAAATAGTGTGGATGGCATTATATTTAAAGTCAAAGTCTTTGTGTTAAATTTTGCTACTATGAGGTGTGTAACATTGACTTTTACTTATTCTGGATCACCATTTTGTTGTTTGTGGAGTGAAATTCATACCACCAACATTACAAGGTTTTTGAGAACATTAAATAAAACAATATATGCTAAGCAAAGTTCATTGTCCCAACACATATATTTTAATTGCTTTTTCTCCTGTGATTGTGGATGCTATTGGATCAAGTCTTAACTGTGTTTGTTAGGTGGAGTGGAAGCCACATAAGATGGGGCCAACCTTTCCGACTACGCCATGTCACAACAGGAAAATACTTGAGTCTCATGGAAGACAAAAGCCTTCTACTCATGGACAAAGAAAAAGCTGATGTAAAATCAACTGCATTTACCTTCCGATCTTCCAAGGTAAGACAGAAAATATATTTTTGGATTACCTGTAATTATGTCCCCACCTGTAATTATGTCCCCATTTCTTTTGATGTTAGGAAATGCAAAGAGAAAGGATGTGAGTATCATTTCTCTTTGCATTTTTTTTACATGTATTTCTAAATTTCCAGTTTCTCTTCCATCCATTCCTTTCCAGTAAAACTCATTTCCTAAACCACTAAAACCGCCCAGGTGTCTCAACTGGTTTATAGCTCTTTGGTTGTTTACATATAACACATTCATCTAGCTTGTTTCTGTTTTACTTAAGCTTTGACAAGGGCACTTAGCACAAACCTGTAACAATATGTTGGTAGAGCATGTCAGAACCTCAAAGGCACATTTACACAACTGCTCTTACATGCAGACCTTTTTTCTTAGGTCTTTTGAATCATTTGTAGGGGGAAAAATCCTCTAAGAAAACTCTTTAGATCTCTGATAAAAATTCCTCTGAACCAATGATGAGTAGAATAGGAAAAAACACATATGCATCAAAGTCAAGTTGGAATGCTGGTGCTCCAGCACAGCTGGTCCCTTCAGTACATCATGCATGGTCGCCAACATACCAACTGCACAATGTAATGGATTCCTACTCAGGCTTCAGCAAAATAACAAATGTCCTGAACAGTGAGGTATCTCTGGAATCGTTGAAAATCACATGTTGAGTTGACAGATGCCAAGCATCTATTGTATTCATTTTTGTCGTAATTATATACTTGTGTCCTTAAGCTAATGAGGAATGTGAAATTTGAGCATAATGGTAGGAATGAGGCTGGATTACTGATTAGCTTTTGTTGCAGAGATGGAAAACCCGATGTCCCTGTTATAGCTAAAGGGAAGTTTGGGTGAGTCCAGAAGTAAATGTGAGAAGACAGTAGTAGCCTGAGCACACATCCCTAGTGCCATTCTGTTAGTTGTCCTGCTTTGCCGTATACAGAGCGGTGGAAGATGCTCCAGACTCTGGAGTTGCCCAGAGATCTCTGGGAGACACAGCAGTGTAGATCCCTATTCTGTATGGTGAGAATAGAGAGGTGAAGCTGATAAACCCCAATGTACAATCTCAGACAGGATTCACATATGTATATTTGTTGTGTGGACCCATAGACGGCTCTGAATGCTCTATTTCATGGACCTCTGGTGGGCAGTTGCTCTTTATCTCTGTAGATGGAAAGCACAGTTGGTCTTGCTGTGAATGAGCTTAGTGTTCCTTCTTAATGAACTGTTCAATTTCTCTAAAGTTAATCTCCTATTAAATCACTCTAATATGCAAGTAGTTAATAATTCACTGTCCTATACTCCACTTTTTAAATTCACCATGACAATTGTATATGATAACATGGTTGAGAGTAGTGAAGGTAGAGGTGAAAGCCAGGAAAATACTTTGTTTCTATAATCACAGAATTTTAATTTTAAAATCACTGGCAAATTAGGTAATAAAGTTTTTTTCTTATGACATAAAAATAGTAACCATTATTTCTTTCTAAAATTACTTCTTTATTATGTATAATAGTCACAGAAAATTTTTAAAGGGGATAAAGAAGTGTAGTAAGGGGAAAATTATATTCCCTTACACAGAAACAGTTGTGTGTATGAGTGTATATTTCAGTTATTAGTAAATATATACACATGTTTATATTTAAGCTAATTAAAATTGAAATCTATTTGATGAAAATTATTTTCTGCAATTACATCATAAAGAAGCATTGAACTTAGAACCAACTAAAACAGACATGTGACACCATAAAGAAGCCAAATTATAGATGAAATTATATATTTTTAAAACAAAATACTGTTTTTATATTAAGATTTTAGAGAATATAGTATAAATAGATTCTCTCATTACTTTGTTAATTACCACATTTGATCATGGCCCTGGTCTTTGAAATAAATATAGGGTTCACTTAAAGGTGTGTGTATATATATATATATTTTCTTTTTTCACTTAAAGGTATATTTGCTTTTTTTTTCCTTTAGTGCTATTGACAGGTTAAAAATGCCTGTCATATCTTTATATATTTTTATTATATTATTTCCAATAAAAATAATGAGTACTTCAGTTTCTGGAAGGCAAAGACTTTTTTATACATTTTGAGTATACAATTAATGACTATTGATTGACGTACTCTACTGTTGCAAATCAACTATTCATTATTGATGAAAAATTGAACTTTTCTAGATCGGTTGAAAATACCAACTTTTATCTTGGATTTAGGGTATGGTTTTGGAAATTCTGAAGTAAAAACCATCTCTCATGATCCTTTGTACTTGCATTAGCAGTCACTTACCTGTAACTGTTGAAACCACTTTAAAATTTAGCAAACCATTAGGATTATTCTTAAAAGTATAAGTGAAAGTGGCTTTAAAAAACTATTCTAGTTAATATAAGGAGCAATTTTTTTTTGATTGTCATTGGGATGTCTTTGACACTAATGTGAGCACTCAGGACCCAATCTCAAATTCATGATTTGACAGAAGACTCAACAATTGTTGGTAAGTACATATTTTCAGAATACACAGAATAAAGTGGAAAATAGTTCACAATATAACCTATGTTCTCTTTTTTCCAGTTTTATTGAGATAAAATTGACATGTAACATTGTGTAAGTTTAAGGTATACAACATGATGATTTGATACATGTATATATTGCAAAGTGATTATGTTGGTCTTCTTTAGAGACAGCATTTTACATAATGAAGAATTCAATTGGATTCATGTAGATTTTCTTAGACCAAGTGTTCTTCAGTTTCTCTGCCCGCTAAAACTTGAACCATCACTTTCCAGTGTGTTGAAATGTCAGTTTTAATCATTGGTAGGTCTTGCCAATTACAAATGTATTGTACTTCCCCCAAGATGTAATTTGTCTTTAGCTTAATATGCCACTAAAATATTCCCCTGTAGGTGATTTTTCTCCAGTTTTCTTTTTCCCACACACCCTGAACAACAACCTTTTGCTACTGAAATTATGGAATACCTACCTCAAATAAGACTGCCGTTGAGATGACAAGGGTTATGGATCACATGGCAGAAATAGAAAGAACAAAACATTTCAGGACATAGTTTTTAGTATGTCATTTTTATTTGGGATTTTTTAAATTTTGGTTCAAAAAATGTTTAAGATGTTTTAAAATATCCACACACAATGAAAATAAGTATAACAACTAACAGTTTATTATATGCCAAGTAATGTGCTAAGCACCTTACCTGCATTATCTTATTTAATCCTAGATCAAGCCTTTGAAGCTTAGATAATATTTTTAATCTTCATTATGCAGATGAGAAACTGCGGCTTGGATGAGTTATGTGGCAGTTTCAGACTCTGGACGTAAATAGTAAAACTAAAGCCCTGTTTAATAAGAAAATTAAAGATTTAATAATAATGATAATGTCAGGTAGAAAAGATACATTGCTCACCTGTGATCATCTGTTATGGTTGTTTAGTGATTGATTAAATATCTGAAAAAATAAGAGCAGAGTGGAGAATTTGTTTTTTTCTTATCAAAATAGTTATACAAAGTCATCAATGGAGATGGATTTTGCATTTAATCAGGATTAAATTCAAAATACATTTTTTCAGTCACCCTTTTTCAAGGGGTGTTGATGGCGTAATAGAAAATAATGCCAATTATGGTTTCATAGAAGATACAGAAATTCAGTTAGAGTTGTTATGCTGATCCTTTTTAGTGGCAGTCAGCCCGAGAATGAGCTCACTGAAACCGTCTATGGTTCAGATGAGGTGTATCAGTCAAAGTTCAACCAGAGAAGCAGAGCCAGCATGAGATATGTGTATAATAAGGGATTTTTATTATGAGAATTTGCTTTATGAGATTGTGAGGGCTGGTTAAGTAAGCCTGGAGTCCATCCTGCAAGTGGCCGGAAAGGAAGATCATGATTAGGGTGGAACCCCATGGGTACTAGCTGCTTGGCGTCTTTGAGTTCAGGGAAAGCCTAAGTCCTCCTTAAAGGGCTTACCTGATTAACTGTCACTCATCCAGGGCATTTGCTCACTGTCAACTGAAAGGGACCTTAAGTACATCTGCAGGATCTTTCCACCTTTGCCATGTAATGTAATCTATGAGTGCTATCCCATCATGTTCGTTGGCCCAACCCACACTCAGGGGGCGGAGATTACACAAGATATCAGAGAGCTTTTCCTAAGGTGCTGTGATCTTGTTTTCCTGCTGCTCAAAGACCCTTCCAGAACAAGAAATTTTTTAAAGCCCTTCTCTCCACAAACCCACCCACCAGAGTGTTTCCTCACGAGATTTCTGAACACCAGGGATAAAAAAAATAGCTGTGTCTTTTTTATAATCCTGCTTTGGATGGGCAAAGCTTGGCCTGGTCTCTCTGTTCCAGTAATTTCTCTGACCCTTTTGCGTTTTTAGACTCTGAGTTCTCAGTGACTATTTTATGTTTAAGTGTGACACCATAAAGAAGCCAAAAAAATTTTGACCTTTTAATTTTCCTAACTTTAACCATTGTTTGTCTTAAGGAAAACTGGCTATGACAAAAACAAACACGCCATCCTTGAAGGATAAAGCCTTTTTTCCCCCCTTCCTGTCAGCCACCTGACGGAATAATTTAGAAGGATTTAAGGATGATTTCAATTAATGCTAGAAGAATCTCTCTGAACTACCTTGTCCATATAACAAGAACATAATCCTACCTAACTAATTTAAAAATCTTGAGCCTTGGGGTGCCTGGGTAGCTCAATTGGTTAAGTGTCCAACTCTTGATTTAGGATCAGGTCATGATCTTGGGGTCATAAGATCGAGCCCCACGAGCCCCGCATGGGCTCCATGCTGGGTGTGGAGCCTGCTTACGATTCTCCTTCTCCTTCTGCCCTTACCCTCCTCTGAAAAGACCTTAATGAGCTTCATTTGGTATATCTAATGCCTGTGTATCACTTCATATGGACAGTTGTCAGAAATAGTTTTGGCTTTATGAGCCAGTTTGGTATGCCCAATGCCAAAATGTCACTTAATATTTTTCATACTGATCTTTTCTAATTCTAGAACCATTTTCTTATAAGATTTTATTTATTTATTTGACAGATAGAGAGCACAAATAGGCAGAGAGGCAGGCAGAGGGAGAGGGAGAAGAATGCTCCCCGCTGAGCAGGGAGCCTGATGCAGAACTCCATCCCAGGACCCTGGGATTATGACCTGAGCCAAAGGCAGCCACTTAACCGACTGAGCCACCCAGACGCCCCTAGAACCATTTTGATATTCATTAGGAAATTAGATTTTCTAAGCATTCATAAGTGGAATTATTTGAATGTTAGGATTGGGAGTAGTTTATAAGTATATTTTCTGTGGGAAATCTGATGGGGTATGTGATTTTCTTCCAAAAATGTATTCATTTAATAAATCTTTATTGAGAATCTAGTATTTGCAGGCACCATTCTGCTCCTGGGGATATGGGCCATTGAGGTGAAGGAACCAGACATATGATTCCTGCCCTTGAAAAACTAAGTAATAGTTAAGTGGGAAAGAAGGCAGTTGAGAAGCAATTTCAGTAAAATGCCGGCATTTCTCTCATAGTTGTAGTATTAGCATGCTGTGGTTGTCCATGAAGCAAAAGAGAAAATGTCTATCCAAACAATCATCTAATAGTAAAAATAGAAGTCTTTTCAGTAACTCTAGACTGTCAAAAAGAGTTGTTTCTTTTTGAGCATTTTTATGGTTCTCAAATCTCAAGATTATTCTTCTAGGATGGACAATTAGATAATTCAAAAATTTATGGATGTTAGTGAATATCAAGTCGATAGTGAGGATCTAAACCTTTCCTAAGTTAAATGAAGGAGGTATGGGAATTAAATCTTATGTAATCTTTTGAGGAAAGTTTCCACTTAATTGCAAAGTGCCTATTATGTCAGAGTGCTATTAAAAGCAATCTGATCTTGGGGGGTGCCTGCTTGGTACAGCTGGTTAAGTGCCCGACTCTTGGTTTTGGCTCAGGTCATGATCTCAGGGTCTTGGGATCAAGCCCCACATTGGGCTCCACATTCAGGGTGGAGTCTGTTTGGGACTCTGTCTCCTTCTCCCTCTCCCTCTGCACCCTACCCCACACCATGCACATGCATGCATTCTCTCTCAAATAAATAAATCTTAAAAAAAAAAAGGCAGCCTGATATTGAGATTGGAAAATTTCTATTGATCTACTTTCAACTTCATTGACCCCTTAGCTTGTAATTCCAAGCTGATGTTAAGCTGATCCAATTAATTTTGTATTTCAATTATTGTTTCCATTTTGCTAATACATTTCATTTTATATAGTTTCTATTTCTCAACTGAGATTCCCATCAGTTTATTCATTATGCATATGTTTTCCTTTATGTCCTTAAATGTATTTTATATTTATAATAGTTGCTAATTGTAAGGGCTATCTCTGCATCATTTCTATTACCTGTTACTATTTTTTCTTTGGTATGGGTCACATTTTGTTCTGTTTTCTTAATTTAGTATAGATCACCTTTTGTTGTTTTTTTATATCTACTTATTTTGACAGTATACCCTGGATATTAGAAATGATAGGTTATAGAGACTCTTAATTTTGTTAAGGGTTTTTGGTTTTTGTTTTGTTTTGTTTTGTTTTCTTTGTTTTTTTCTGAAGAATGATTTTAGTTTCAGCAAGCAGTTAACCCTGTTGGATTGAATCTCCGGTTTTGTTCTCTCTTTTGCAGTGGGCAGTGGCTTGTATTTCTGCTCACTCATTTCAGCTTTCATCTGCTGTCATTCTGTGGGGCATAGTTTAGCAGTCAGCAAGAATTTGGGTGAATTTTATAAGCAGACTTTGCAGATACTTTTTTGGTCCAGGATTTAGCTCATCTAATTTTCCGGCTGCTTGTGAGCCCTAAAGTGTATTCTCTGATATCTCAAGCCAGTAAAGCAGCAGATTTCTTCTGCCTGATCTGCAGGCAGATTGGGCAGGGCACACGCCCCACGGCAAAAGGCAGCTTTTAAAAAAATCACCTGGGTACTCCTCCTCCAGAGAGAAAAATATTCTCCAGTTTCTCCCTGCTTTTGGTCCCTCTCAAGCATCTTCAGACAGATTCTGGAAAGTATTTTTTTTTCTAAATTTCATAATTGTTATCTATGGGAGGATTAGTCCAACTTAACTGCTCTGTCATTTCCTAAAGCCAGAGTAAAACAAAAACAGAAACAAAAGAATAAAAAAAAAGAATGAAAAAAGGAATAAAAAAGTGATGCCAAAACCAAAAGCTGCTAATTTTGATACAGTGTAGCTAATACAGAGTATTAGTAAAATTATTATTTGCCTAATCTGGATACTGTATTTCTAGTAATATAGGCTAATTTTATGTTAGAGGCTTTTAGGAGTTGTCACATTCTTGACTCATGCTTATGCGTATAGTTGTTCAGAGCATCTAGATTATTCTCACCTGAATTTCTCCTTCTCTTAAACCTAACTTACAGAAAATGACAGGAAATAAAAAAAGGAAAGAACATGAATGGCCTTTGTTCTTTTACACAGCAAAGAATCACACGTTACTTTTTTTTTAATGTTACTTTAGCAGTTCTTCCCTCAGCTGAGGATCAGAGATAGTTACTACAACAGTCTTCATGAAATGTCATGATTAAAACTTCTAACCCAGAGAGTGATGTGAACTACTTAATAAAAACCGGACAAAGCGTAACTTTACAATTAGTAATTGTGACTTCTCAAAACACAGTCCACAGTCTATAAATAGACCACCAACTAATTCCCTTGGATAAAAGAAAAACAAAAAGTTAGAATGTTAGAAGCTCATTGTTTTATTCTGAGGAGATAATTACATTGTTATATTTTCCCCTAGAATTTAATGTTCCCATTGATAGGTTTGGTGTAAGTGGATTAGTAGTTTATCTTCTTTGATAGAATGAAGTTGGAATGGCTTAATTATCTGTTTTATTGCAGATTCTTAGAATAGTGTTTCAATTTATTTGTATAATGGTTAAATCAACTTATAATTGTATTCATTTTCTTATATGACCTTGACTTATTGTATTAAGAATTTCAATTCATTTTAATTTTCAAATGTTGGAGTGTTCGTAATCATTTGAGTTATTAGTACAATGTGCAAATGACATGAACAAAATCTATCAAAAAGTTTTACTTGAATCTTTCCTTTTTGTATAACAGCTGTAAAGTTTACTGCAACCTAATCTCAAAAACATTTGTGTAACTATTAGCAATTTCCAACTAATTGTGTAACTATTACTCCAAACTAATCTTCAAAAACATTTGTGTAACTGTTACGAAAGCCAAACAAGGAAAGGCACAGATGAAATTTAAAGTAAATTTAACTACACGAGGAGGTACAGCAACCAAAAGAACATGAGTGTTTTTTTTCTTTTTTTGGCTGTTATTTTAAGGACTGTGTAGAACTTGAAGACATCATGTGTGCCTGAAGACCAGAATTAAGTGTGGGAGGGAAAACCGAAAGAGCGTGTTGAAGGAGGAAGCATTTAAATAAGTAGGGACTTGTGTATTTAGTGTCAGAGGATTGCTTGTTTCTTCATAGCACAGGGAGCTTACCCTAGTAGCTCCAAATAGTTCTGTAGAGTCCACATTGGAAGTTGTAGTTGTGGGAACTGAATGATAGCTTTGATCAGTTCAAAAGAAATCATCACTATTACTAACATCCTTAGTAACATCTCCATCAACATTATCAACACCATTTTCACAGTCAGAATCATTAAAATTTATGTAGTGTTTATTTTATCCCAGGCACTGGGCTGAACACGTTTAAGTGCATTATCTCATTTTTTCTGATACTACCGGCGAGATACTTCTGTTAACTTTATTTACAGATGAGAAACCCGAGGCTTAAAAGATTTAGTTAAATTGTCTTAAGGTCACAGAGGTAATCAGTGGCAGAGATTGAACTCAAAACTGGATTTTCTTTTCCCCTAAACCTATGCTCTTAACCACCAATAATGAAAAAAAAAATCTGGAAAGAATATGAAGCCTAAGCTACTAATTTTAAGATCTCTGGTTTGGAGTTTGCCATTAAGCAATATAAAATTTTATGTTAGGGCCAAAATAATTTTCTACCAGTATGAATAATTCAAGGTTTGTTTATTTATCTTTATAATTTCCCACTTTGATTTTCAGTATCAGTTGAACTGCTGGAATAGAGTATTTGACATTATTATTGTAAAGGATGTCAGACGGCTGAATTTTTCAAGGAACATATTTACAAAAAGGCAAAGTTCTTTCAATATAAACTAGTATTTTTAGGACTTTTGCTTATCTTTTTTTTTTCTTAGGAAAAATTGGATGTAGGGGTGAGAAAAGAAGTCGATGGCATGGGGACATCTGAAATAAAATACGGAGACTCAGTATGCTATATACAACATATAAATACAGGCCTGTGGCTTACTTACCAGTCTGTGGATGTGAAATCAGTGAGAATGGGATCCATACAACGTAAGGTAAGATTATGTAAAAATGCAATTTATAGCCGCCATTTTGTATGACAAAAATACACAAACGTAAAACAACAAGACTTTGAGCTATCTGCTAAACAGGCAAAAAGGTCAAATCCCACCATAATAATCTCTTTGGTCTTTGTGAGGTGAGCAATGCTGGATGTTACATCATGGCTTTAAATATTAAGCCAAGAAATATACTCTTTTCTGCATTCTAGCAGTCTGCCTACTTCACTTTGTTCTCCGTGTTCCTGCCAGGGTTATGTCTCTACAATGCAGGAGAGCTCATGCTCTCTACCTAATTACTTTAAATTTAAAGGCTTATACTTGATTAAGTTATTAGAAGATTTTTGTGCATGTTTGGGAGCTTAGGTATGTGAATGTACTTTGCTAATGCTAAATGTCATCAATTCTAAAACAAATCCAAGTATTTTCACTAATTTGGTATCAAAATCAAGATATTCTGTAAGTATAAAAAAATAAATATATAAGTATAAAAATTACACTGGATTTTGAAGGCAAAGAGCAACAAAAAGAGAATGTTAAATACTTCATTAATAACTTTATTCTTTTTATTGGTTGAAATAGTATTTTGGATATATTAGGGTAAATCAAATATATAATTAAAATTTTACCTTTTTTAAAAAAACTTTTTTTGATGTGTGCTCTAGAAAATTTAAATTTACATATTTTAGAAACACTTTCTGCCACCCCTTCTCGCCCACCCCATGCTTCCTTCCAGTTACTACCACCCTGAAAGATAAATACTATCATTGCTTGTGGTACTGGGGATGAGATTTGTGCAGGACTTCTTATTTCATTTTATGGATGGTGATTTTATTGGAGGGAGGAGCAGGGAGAGAGAATCTCAAGCAGACTCCCAACTGCGTGCAGAGCCTGATGCAGGGCTCAATCCCAGGACCCCAAGACCATGACCTGAGCTGAAACCAAGAGTAGGACACTTAACCCACTGAGCCACCTGGGGGCCCTGTCATATTTTTGCAAAGATAGAAATAAGTTTTAATCAGAAGGTCACTAGAAACTTTGGGTGCCATTTCCCCATTCTCTATACTTAAGTGGTAAATGCAAAAAAAAAAAAAAAAAATATATATATATATATATATATGGCTTAAACAATTGTCTTCAATCTTTTTTTGCTCAAGTACCACTTGAATGAATTATTAAAACCACACACCGCATGGCATAGTTTTTGTTATAAATTTAAATAGTTGCAAATAAGATGATTTCTGGCTTATTGTAAATAGCAACATTTTAAACCAAACTCTGCATATGTCTTTTAAATATGTTGTATGGGAATTAAATACCAGGAGTTTCCACAATTACCTTTTCTCATTCTGCTGAATTCAATGAAGACACCAAGTCCTGGAAATTTTATCTTCCAAGTGTACCTCAAAGTAATTCCCTCTGCCCCCCCCCCCCCCCAAAGATCTAGTTCAGTCTTTTTCATCCTTTGTGTGCACTGTTTCCAGAGTCTCTTTACCAGCGTCTCTGCCTGCCTTCAGTCTTACTTCTCTCCAATCTATTCTGGCTTTATGACCGCCATGTTTGAAATGTGTCATGGCTGAGCTTTACTTCCTGTGGTAATTCCAGTCTGCTTACCATGACAAACCCGATCACCGCTTAATCAGTCCTTTCTCTGTCTTCAGTCCATTGCAGTTATGCTAGGGTTCTTAATCATTACTCCACTATCTTATTCCTTAGCCATGGGTCAAAGTCAAAGTGGGACTTAGACTCACCATCATAGGCTAGCATAGAGCTTTTCTTTTAGAAAGCTAAGGGTGTTGAGAAGCTAACCAGTCTTAAGTTAGAGAAGAAAGACTTTATAGGACATAGAAGAGGTAATGTAATAAAATCTCTGCTGCAGACTTATTACCACTTGGAGAACTATCTAGTATAGTAAATCCTTAGGGGAAGACTTCAATGTGGTCACAATGTATGTATGCATGCATACACACACACACACACACATCCCACATCATGTGAATATTCATGTTTTGCTGCAGAGATATAAATTTATTGATTGCAGAGTGATGCACGGACCACACCAGAATATTACAAATAGTATACAGTTTATCTGAAAACGTGTCACCAAGAATTTTTAATTAGCACACGTAGGTCTTCTTAGAACTGAGAGCATTGTACTACCATATCTTTAGTGTCTGTTTTCCTTCTGTTTGTTAGTTTCTCAGGAAATGGGTTCATTCCTCTTCTCCATGTCAACCATCTTCTCTTTCTGTCTTCAATTTCTTCCTATTTTCTAGATCTGGCTTCTCGGTTGTGTCCTCCAAATCACTCATTTTGTTGTGTTTGGGTACTTGTCTCCTTAAGTTCTTTCAGTGCCTTTGAAATTTCACTTTTCTTGTAGTATTTCATGATCTCGCCCCCAGTCACTTTATATGTCAGCTTTCTGTTTTTCATCTATTCTGGTTGCTCATCTTGTGTACTTTCTTACTGTGAATCTTCACTCCTGTTTCACAGAAGTTATACCTTCTTGTATCTTGTGGACAATTGAAATAGTTTATATATGTAAGTGATATCCTGCTATTCCTGTTTTTCTGGCTTTTTAAAAAACTTAGGAATTATCACTGAATTTTATCAATTAAAGGAATTATAAATCATGTTTTAGTGTCCTTCAATTTGTTGATAAATAAGGTAATGGACATTACAATATTGAAGAATCCTTAAAGACATAGATGAAACCCTATTTGGCCATAGTTTATTATGCTTTTAAAATATTAGATCTTATCCACTTATTATTAGAATTATTATGTATTCAGAGATAAAATCAACTTTTCTTTGTTAGGGATACTGAAATTTGAATTTCATGGAATTTTCATACGTCACAAAATACTCTGTTTCTGTTCTTTTTCAACCATTTAAAAATGTAAAATTCATTTAAAACTCACAGACTGTACTAAAAAAAAAAAGGGAACAGGCCATAGTTTCCTGACCTTTGGTCAGGACTAGTTTACTGTGAAAATTCTCTGTTCTTTGAAGATTAATTAGAGCTCACGTGTAAACCTAGGATCTTTTAAATATTAACTCTTTAATTTCCTTTCTGGTCTCTTTTAAAGTAGAAAATTTGATGAGATCAGCTTATTTATTTGATTCTTAATTTGCTAGGAAGCTGTCTATTTCCTCTGGGATATTACATTTTTTGCCATTGAGTTGTAAATAGTATTGACTTATGACAGTGCTACAATTTTAATGTCTTTTGTGTCTTATGTCTTATTCTGGGTTGTTTTTTTTCTTTTTAAAAATTTTATCTTTAGCGTGGCTTGTGAAAGGTTTATTTATCTCCTCAAAGAATTAAATTTTAGGTTATCCTTTTTAGCACTTAATTTGGTTTCTAGTTCATTAATTCCTCTTTTATCTTCATTAATTCCACTTTTCCACTTCGTTTTTCTTTTTTTGAGTCTCACAACAAGTAATATGTTCCTTCATTTTAATCATTTTTTTTTCTTTGTCAGTGAAGACATTTAAGTCTACAGAGTTGCCTTTGAATACAGACATAGCTCTGTCTCATTGATTTTGGTCTAAAGAGTTCCTCTTTACTTTCTAGATTGTGTATAATTTTAATTCTAGTTATTAATTTTAGTTCAGTACACCTGCTTAGATGTGCTGAAATGTCTGGCTACAAGCACTGAGTGAAGGAAGCTAGAGACGCATAGTACCATTTATGTGTAGTACATAACTGACCTTTGCTATGAAGAGTTGGGAAGGTGGGGAGCAGTGTAGAGGATGGGGCCAGTAAGGGAGCACTAGGGGAGACTTTAAGGTACTGTAATGTTCTCTTTCATGATTGGGGTGTTGGTTGCATGGTACATTCATTGAGCTGTTCAACTAAGATTTCTACACTTACTACTTCCATAGAAAGTTCAGAAACACAAAGCCTAACAAAAGAACTAATAAAATTACATTTTTTAAAGAACTTTGATGCCTTAGAAACAATGATCATTACTTATTACTCAGTCTTTGTTCAGAACTGCTGTCTAACTGGCATACCAATGAAATGTTTTCCTTTACTGCTTTGTTAAGAGTTTGTGTAGACTGTAGTTCAGTCACTGAACATAGATATGTGCGAACATTCTGGTGTCTGTTTTGTTGAACTCAATTACTGACTCTTTTTAAAAGAAAAACTCAATATATTGAGTGGTTTGTACAAGACCTGCGCCTATTATTTTAAATGTACACATCAGCTTATTGCCCCTTGTACCTGCCTTTTGATTCTATTTATTGTTAGGGCTTACCTTTGGAGTGCACATCTTCTTAACACCCATTTAGAAAGGACATGGGAGTAATGGTGTTATTTCTACATTTCTACAGGCTATTATGCATCATGAAGGTCACATGGATGATGGCTTAAATTTATCTAGATCTCAGCATGAGGAATCACGGACTGCACGAGTCATCCGGAGCACAGTCTTCCTTTTCAATAGATTTATAAGGTACATTTTCTTTTGTTGTAGTAGTGGTTTGACATTTTATTTCAATGTCCTTATTGGATTTACAAATACACAATTCTAAAATATACGATGGTGGAAAACCTATGATTTGGTGGGTTGGCAGTATACATTACAAATGATAGATGGGGGCGGAGCAAGATGGCGGAGGAGTAGGAGACCTGGACGTCCTCTGGTCTCAGGAATTCAGCTGAATAGGGATCAAACCATTCTGAACACCTACGAACTCAACAGGAGATTGAAGATAAGAATAGTAACAACACTCTGAACAGAAAAGCGACCATTTCTGGAAGGTAGGACGTGCGGAGAAGCGAATCCGAGGCGATATTCGGGAGGATAGTTGGCGGGGGAGGGGGCCTCGGTCGGCCGCTTCTGGCAAGTGATAGAGTCGCGGAGCACAAAATCGGAACTTTTAGAAGTCGGCTCTGCTGAGGGACGTCACTCCAGTGGCTAAGCGGGGGATGGAACCCTCGCGGGACAGTGTGGTCTCAGGACCCTCAGGGTCACAGAAAGACCGGGGTGCCTGAGTGCTGCAGAGCTCCCAGGGATCGGAGCGGGGAAGCCGGCTGCAGAGACAGAGCCGAGGCGCGGGCTCTCAGCTCGGGGTTGCCATAAACCGTGATCCGCGGCCCAGTCAGGCCACTGCGCCTCCAGCAGGGACCCAACAAGCGGCAGAGCCGGGGAGACTCCCCTTCCTCCCCGGGAGGAGCGGCGCGGGAACGCACCGCCGGGATCTGCTGGGTTTGGAGACTCCACACGGGGTCAGGTGCCAGAGATAGAAACGCTCGGTCACAGGCCGGGTGAGCACGGAGTGCGGCCGGAGACCGGGGAGACGGGAGTGATTGACTGCTTTTCTCTGGGGGCGCACTGAGGAGTGGAGCCCCAAGTTCTTTGCTCCTCCGGGTGGAGATTGGGAGGCCGCCATTTTCACTGTCGTCCTCCAACGCGGTACGGAAAGCCTGCAGGGAACGAAAGCTCCCGAGAGCAAATCTGGGCAGATTGCTTAGCCCGGACTGGAAAGGGCGGGGCAATTCCGCCTCCGGCAAACACATTTGGGAACCACAGCAACAGGCCCCTCCCC